ACGGGAATTCGGTTTGATGTGCTTATTCTGCGTTTGCTGTTGGGTATCAAATATTGCGATTTCAGCTGGACACCAACGCTGAAATCTGATAGATGTTGTCTCAATCCCATTACAGCTCCACGGAAAAATAGGTGCACATTTAGGAACGAATGTATACTATATTTGACACTATTCTTTTATTCTTCAGCTGACAATTCCTCCTGCTAGGTACAAATAAAATAAATGAATTGGTAGTATTATAATGGGATAAACAATGGAAACTATTTTGAATTATATTCTTTAGAAAATAGTTCCCATTGTTTATTCCATTATAACACTACTTGTCCGAAGCTCTTATCAAATGAATTAGTCTTTTAACAACGGTAGCCGTGAAACTGAATTTCGCAAATGTGGACATTCCGTGGTTCTTTATTGTGTTGTATAACAATGTGAAATAAAACAAACAAAAACATTATCAGAAAACATCGCTCGTTGCTTTTGGCCTGCCACCACCTAGGAGCTCTTTTCCATCCTGTTCGCCACTCTCGTCCTGACGCGTACCATCCAACTGGTACAAAAACTACCCAGTTACAACCCAGAAAACTGGAGGGCGCAACAGAAAGCGGCGGTTCCGTTTTCGCTCGCGTGCGTCTCATTTTTATGGAGTTCTCTTTGACAGTGGCGAGCGCCGAACCGAAACTGAGGAGGCAGCGCACCACGACAGAGTTTCTCTTGAGTTACAAACTCCATGTGCACTGAAAAGTCTCCCAGCAAGCATGGTTCAGCGTGTAAGCCCGATTGACGCTGACACTTTTGCGAAAAATAATTTGATAGGTAATGAAATTATTGATAATACCTAATGAAAAAACGAATGCATAAGAAGAACATGTTTTGGAAATAAATGCACTAAATCCACGTAATTCCTCTACATATTTTCTTCCAAAGCAGTTATATACTAAGCATTATTGTCAACGTGAATTATGTGAATGAATACTTGCTTGACACCCGTGACATGCTATTTTCAAGTCTTTCAAGCAACAGTGGATACAGGAGCCCACCCAAAACCCCAACAATTACTTGAACCGGTCGCCTCGGTACAGATTACAGTCGGTAGTTTGTAACCACAAATAGCCAACGGGACTCCGCTACTGTACGGGGCAGGTGCCGCATTCATACTTCAGTCACCCACCCGTGTCACCAGCTTCACCTGCTCCCCTCCCCGCTCCCCTCCCCTCTCCCCTGGGGTCGTTTCGAGTCGGTGCCGGGCTGACGATTGGCCTCTAACCGTTGGACGCAGCCAGGCTTACAGGCGTCTCCATGGATCATGAAGTGATCCGAACTGAGACGTGATCATCGCGCCATTATACCCTGATATGCTACTGTGCGCATCGGAGGGTTACATTATGTAGACGCCAGCGCCCATTGGACCCGTTTGACGCATTATTTCATTTTCTTCCGATTTTTATTTTTATACCGGATAATGGCGTGATACATACATCGAGGCTTATTTACAGAGGGTTAGATCATAAATGGACTGAAAAAGTTGTATTTCCATGCATCAGCATTTCCGTTATTTGGAACGGCGTTTGTAAATTCACATATTGTCGTTCTCTTTTAAGTACTTTTATAATTGTTCCTTATCTTAGCACGTCGGCTAATTAAGCACCCTACTAAAAACTCCTCACTTCCTCTCGCCAAAAGTAAAACGTCCAGTTAACCACATCCTATCGTGGCCGTGGCTGCCGTCGGCAGCTGCTGGTCCTCTTAGTAACGAGCTGGCCCCACCTGCCGGTCGGGCTGTCGGCCGCTGTCCGGCCGCCGGGCAGGATGTCCTGTTTCCTGGGAAGGGCAGGGAGGGGAGGGAGTCGGAGGAATCAGCGACGATGGCAGCTCGCCTCAGGACTGCCGATGCCAGGTGCTGGTGACTGCTGAACTGTGAGGGCCGGCAGGTGGTGGTGATATGACAGGCTTGGTGCATTGTGTGATCATAGTTATTTATTTGAATCTAGCATTGCGGCTACCTATAAGCGGATTTGGAACTTCAGGTGAACTTTCTGAAGAGTCGCGCTAAATGAGTGACTTTATGAAGATGTTTGATGTCGTCATTATATGCTTTTTCTACCCGAACAGATATCGTAAATAATTTTCAAAAAGTATCTCGGATGTTACTCGCTCCGCTGCGTCTCTGCCATTCCATTTGTCTCCGTGCCTGCCGTGCGTCTCCGTCCAGTCAATCTGACCGCGCTCGCACGTCATCACCCCCCCCCTACCCCCCCCCCGTCGTGACCGGCGGCTCCGACGGCGGCGGCGCGGCGGTGCACCTGGATCCGTCGCTCGCCGCCGCCGGCCGTTGCTACAACAAACCTTTCCAATTATCGACTACACCGGCGTTGCTATGGAGGCCATGTTTTGGCGATTCGGTCGATGACCAAACGCCGGGCCACGTGGACTTTTTGGGATCGAAACGCGAAATTCCGCGTCGGTTGGTGATCATTAGGGGGTGCACGGTGCGTGGGAAGGGGCGTCAATTGAAAGCAGCAAGCAGAGCGCGCTCCCTGCTCGGTTCTTGCTCGACGGCACCGATCTGGTGGACGGCCTCGGGTAGTGGGGGTTCGAGACAGCATACTGCACTCGGACAAATTGCCATTTCAGAGCGCGCTGGAATGTCGCCTAGTGTTGAGTAAACTGCTAGCAACAATGCTAAATTTCAGTTGTTCTAAAATAAGGACACTGCACCCTTCGTGTGTGTTAGTGGTGTTTGTGATAGTTCGTACCATTGCATTATTTTTATTCTTGTTATTTAGGACATTTTAATTGCTTTGCTTATCGTAAAACTTCCTTTGAAGTAGCACTCGACCAGTTAGGTCGTTAGGGCATACTGCAACCATGCAGGCTTGGAAGGATAAATAATTTGCTTATTTGAAAGAGCGCGGGGTGAGTGAAATGTGTCAACTGAACGGTTTGAAGTGGCAAGCCACTTTAAACTGGTCAGTAGCACTTTCACCTTTGAAAAGAGATAATTTGCAACGGAGCGTTCTTTCCATTTTCATGGTAGCCAACAATGCTGCAATGACATTTCGTCCAACGCAGCATTGACGACAATTCAGCCGCCGTCTAACGTGCCTCCGATGATGTGGAGGCACGACATGCGCGCTGGCATTTCAAACAGTTATGCACGCCCACTGGCGCGACAGTTATACTTCAAAAGAATGTTTTACATACTTTGTCTTATCGATCTAGCGCTTCTTGATTTATGATCGGTGAACAAAGGTCACTCGATGGCTCGGAGTGCAGTGGCCACTGGCCACACGCTCGCATGATGAATGTCGTCATTTTGTTGTGCTGTCCAATTCCAAGAGTCTGGAGGCATGACACTCGTGCTGGGAGCAGCAGGACAGCAGGAGTCGGATGTTTTTCTTTGTCCACCGTTGCGACATGCTGGTTTCGTCGTGATGGTGCTGTTTTTGCGGCACTTCATTGAGATTATTCGTTGATATGGCGTGTGCCCCTGCCGTGTGTTTTTGGTCGGTGCGTGACAAGGGGTCAGTTCGCCCGGGGTTGAAGCGGTGGGTGTCCGGTACGCACCTTATCGTTCTGGCCAACTTCCTCCAAGGAGTTCATTACCGCTAGTTTTCGAGTCCATTGCGGTGCACTGGCCGCAGTTGGTAAAACGCATTAGCCATTCGCGAGTTGTTCAAAAGCATTACCAACGATAATTGGTCAGCAGGGACCCCTGCGCTTATTTTCCATTGGCACTTTTCAGAATTTGCCGACATAAAGCATGCCAAGTGTGAACGAAATGCACGACAGATCCATAGCGCTTTTGCACGGCCCTTGCCGTCTTGATTCTTGAATGCACCGTATTGTCAAACAAACAGTATGTAACGATCGGATATTTTTTTACCAGGCGAATAGTTACATTTAATTTTTACTACATTCAGTGAGAAATAAGTAAATTATTTATATATGAGGCAAGCGACGGTTTGCTGTCGAGGCTCGCTGTCGCTCGCTGTCGAGCTATTAAAAGATATTTGCTGTAAGCCATTCTCTCTTCATTGCTTATCTCTTTTGAATACAAGATTTAGGTTCGCCGTCACCAAGGCCATGTCTATATCTTGGTTGTTGCCAGAAGACCTCACATGACGAATGTTCAGTCTGCTGACCTCAATTAAGTCTTGAACGCGTCATTTTCTGGGTCTGCACGGTGCATACGGCGTGCACATTGCACGCTGCACTGCATGGTTACCGTGCTGCAATGTCGGCCACCGACCTCGAAACCCAACCACCTCTAGTCCAGAAATTCAGCGCTGGAACGCCGTGGCAGAACTATATCGTCCAGCCATCCAGAGCAGCAGCACTTTGTCAAGTCAATCTCCAGCAAAATCACACCGGATTGGGCCACTCTCGCTGCGCTCCAGACACGCACAGCAGCGACCCGTGCAGCGACCCGCGATCGCGGCCAGTAGCGGCACGTGCCGGCCGCACGAGTTGGCACGTGGCGTCACGTGCGGCGTGCTCCGCGGGTGAGATTCAGTCGCCTTCCCTCTGGGACAGTTGGGCGCCGGCCGGACTGGCCGTGCCGGCTTCGAGGCCGCCATGAGTGAGGCATCAATGCGAAGAATGTTCTGTCGGATATCCTTGATGCGGTATTTATTAGATTTTGTGCTAGCTTCCATGTCATCATTGAAGGTCCAACAAGACGACAGCTCCGTACGATACACGGACAAACGCAATTCTGAGCTGTTGGGACAGATATATCACCTTGATTGACTCTTATGAAGTAATGACTAATGACCCGATGGGTGGTCATTCTTTTATTTTTTATCACATACCTGCGTGCCTATTTTGCTTTAGATAATAAACAACTTAAGCTGATATCAGATGAAAGACGATATATGGTCTTTCATCTGATATGACATATATGTCATCAGAGACATATATGTCATATGGACTTCCGTCCGCCTCCCTCTCAGTGCGAACCGATAGACCGATTGTTGACCCCGTCACCTCTTCTTCGACAGGTGCGGACACTGTTTGTTTCCGGCCTTCCGATGGACGCAAAACCCAGAGAGCTCTATCTCCTCTTCAGAGAATATGAGGTAAGCAGTGTACTATTTGTTATGCATTTTTGTACTGCCTTGTCACATAGGAAGCGCGTACTAAGGCATACATATATTTGAAATAATGCTTATTACCTCTAGGTACCTGTGTGTTCACTTCGTCTTGCTTATCAGTACAAATAAAATTATATTTAGAATTATATTTATCAATGAAAATGATACTTTTGTAGTTCATTTATGCATGTAAGACTAGTTAAGACTCACGAATTCGCTTTAGATGCAGACAGTCACAGTTTCTGTGATGCTGAAAATCGACCCACAACTCTGCAGTCCAAGCCTGTGCGTTTCTTCTGCTTGTTGCTACTCCTCACGGAGGTCGCTCCCGGCTTCAATTAGCTCTCGAACTTTGCAGGGATATGAGAGCTCGCTGCTCAAAATCACTAGCAAGAACGGCAAGACGTCGTCTCCAGTCGGCTTTGTCACATTTAACACCAGGAATGAGGCGGAGGCGGCCAAAAATAGAGCACAGGTGAGTCCGGCAGCCTGGGGAGCTTAGCAACGCTGGAGGGTGTTTTTCTGCATACCGAGCTGGTATCCTTTTAGTATATTGTTTCGGACCTTGTTGACATAACATGTGTACACATCAGTTTCTATATGGGCCCACAGGCAGAATAATCAGTCGATAATTGGATAGGACCTGAGCTGCAAACATTGCGGGTAAATGAGTGCGTGTATTTGCCTCGACAACAAGTTGCCTTATTATAGTCAGTGGGTACTGCTACCATGTGCCTGCATTCTGGGTTATATTGGAGCTCCTTGACGAATATTTAACACGATTTGCGATTGAAAAACGTAGCTGACGTCACAAAATGGAAATAATAGTCCAAGACACCGAAAACGAATAAAATCAATTCAAATGTTGATGTTCAAGTAATCCACCACTTATATGTGCAGTCATTGATACATCATCACGTAAAAATTAAACGTTTTGGTCCCTAGCACTGCAGTTGCACGCTGAATATTTATAGTTGTGTGACACTGGCAGTAACATTTGGATTCTTCCTCCAGTTTACATTTAGGCTGTTAAAATGATGTCAACGAATAAGTACTTCTCACAACACTATTGCAAAAATAGTTCGCTTTCGTGGACACGCATATTTCGCATTTTGCTTTACATTGTCATGGAAGTAGCTAAAATGCTTAAGTAGTTATTTGTTAACTCGTATAATTGCAAATGGATTTGTCCACACGTTATCTTAACGTATATTTGAGACATTTTGGCAGGGGTTATGTTCGACATGTGATCCCAGGACTTTCAATTAACACGACTATCAAACGGCAGAGCTAACTCTTAGTACTGGCTCGTCGTTCCCCGCAGAGCGTCAGCCTCAGATGACCAAAAACAGACGGTGTGCCCATGTAGAGTGCCCGACATGCGGGCTCAGACGCAGGTAACGCACAGGTTTCGGGCGTTCGGCCACTCACGTGTCGTGCCGATCTTGAAAGGCATGGCGACAACCCACTGTCTCACGAGTTTATCACCTCACTGAAGAGAGGCGGTTCTGACGTACTCACTATTTCACTCTCACCGTGTGTACGCGTGTGACGAGCGTCGGTTCTCCCCAGCCTCCCTCTTCCTCTCTGTTTCTCTCTCCCGTTTCTCTGAGGCACGCACTCATGAACCCGGCAGCTGAGAGTAGTCCGTCCTTCGGCCCCTAGTTCTCCTATCGGATCCGTCTGACCGTCCGCACTTAGTCTGTCTTCAGCCCAGCCTGTGCAATGTGGATACTCTGTATAACTCGAATCACGCCACCTGTCGGGACCCACGCCACCACTGCCTGCCGCGGCGCCCAGTAGATGGCAGCACCGTCACCGTGCCACCGTCTGTGTCCTCCGGCAGGGGGCTCGCTTCGACCCCGACCTGCCGCAGACCATACGGCTGGAGTTTGCCAAGAGCAACACCAAAGTCAGCAAGCCAAAGCAGCAGGTGTCGGCGGCAGCACCGCACCCAGCACTGATGCACCCCGCCTTCTCACACGGCCGTAAGTACTGAAACTCACAGCCAGGAACTCACCAGAGCTCGTTTGAGCGGCATACTGTCACCAGGGGCTTTTTGCTGTCCCTTTCTGATGCTGGCTGAAGCGCATACTGAGGTTACATAAGGCGCAAGGTTTTGATTTAAAACAGCAAATTAGAAGAGTGAGTTATGGACGGCTTTGTCAATTAAATTTTAGCTCATTTAGCAATTGCTGTGTTTTTTAGAGACTACGTAGCGATTTTCCCGTACCTATATTCAAACTTTGAAATGATAACCTATGAGCTGAAATGTGAGTTCCTCTGCTTCTCAAACCTCGGATGTGCGTACAAATTACAAAGTCGCAAGACATGACTCATGACTGGGCAAAAACTATTCACATGCGTGTGCGTTTGTGGGCGGTGAGGCTATGCCCACACATGGTAAATATTACTGGCTTATCCTACCGATACCATCCAATCACATTAGCCGCATTACTAAGGCATATAGTGCCTACTGGGAATGGGCCGATGGCTGCAGCGGGCGCTTTGGTGGATTCGCCGTGATCCGCCATGTTTTCATAGGGCCCATGGGAAGGATAATATGCGACCTAGAAGCATGGACCTTGATGCAATTCTTGGAACTAGGATATCACCACCCAATGGGCGCATTCTGACCATAGCGATCACTGGGTAATCATGACGTAATTGCCATGCAGCAGCAGCGTGATAGCCTGTTTTTTCCTCTGCCATACCTCCATTGCCGCTTCCCTCACGGAACAGTTTGCAATGTTGTCTGCTATGATGTCCATACGAGGCATTTCTTTTTGCGACAGCTGACACTTTTTTGTGTCACGCTCATCATCAGTGCAGACCTCTTATATCCTATATTCTGCTTGATCAACTCAACAACGAAATAGTTACTATCTATTCCACCCGTACGGACCCATGTGCTCAATGCCCTGGGTTGAGCTCGTTTCCGTGCGCGACCTCGTCATTTGCCAATATCATGTCGATGTGACCATGTCGACCTGCGTCGTAAACGGCGGAACGACATCCCGCCACGGGCTCACGTCACGTCCCCAGCGGTGACCGTCGGGCCGACTGGACGGCTGGCTCGTCGCCGGCGTTCCACTGTAGGCCCGCCGGCTCTGGGAACCCGACAGTGAGGGCTGGTCGTTAGGCCGACGGTACGCCGAATTCACTCATCGTCGGCGGCGACGGTCGGCGATGACCGATATGTGACGACGGGGCAGTGGCGGGGCATATCCAGGGGAATTGAAGGTCGTTGATAGGTCAGGACAGGGAGCAGGTTAATGTTGATCCTTGATTACGTGGTGGTCATTGTGAGGCAGTGATGACAAAATTGGGAGTAATGAATTAGCGTGTCTGATGTATAAAAAAGAAACAATATGCTCACGAATGCCATACGTTCTTCATGTTTTTAAAGTTTGCTGGCTTCTGAACAAAGTGTAATAAATTATTATAGAAAATATTATTGATTTGCTTTATAAGGCATGAGCTCATTTTTCTAGACTATCAAACGTGCTAATATTTTCTAAATAGATATGCTGTCAACTAACGCGTCAATGACAGAGCTCCGAAGCTGGATTAGCGGCAGTAGCCGGGCGGTTCATTATGGCCGCGGACACGGCTCAGACGCGGTCTGTCGCCTGTCCACCGAACCAGTGTCGCCTTCCGTCGGACACGGCGCGACCCTAACGAGTACCGGCGCCCATGTCAAATCAAACGAAAATCTATCGATTATTTATCCGTCAGACACAGATAAATGAGGGATAGCGCGGCCGCTGAATTACGGATGAAGCCACATGCATGGAACATCGACGCTGCCGTCGTTGCCGGTGTTTCGTGATGACCTGCAGGCGACCGCCTAGCGTCGTCGGCGACGACGAACGGCCATAGGCCGGTGCTTCGTGAATCATGAACACGGTGACGAAGAGCGTCGGCACGAAGCGAACTAAGCACACTCAATAATTCAGAGCGGCGCGCCGCGCGCCGGTCGATCAGCCGTGTCCGGCTATGAATGCCGCCCTGATGAATTACGCCAAATTGGCGCGAGCCGCGCTCAACACTTCGGCGCGGCGCGCCCACCGCGGCGGACGCGCCGCGGGAGGCGGACGTTATTGCTGGCCAACTTTTGTGCCGACGCATGCCAGTGTGTCCGCGGGGCGCCAAAATTTATAAGGTGAAGACAAAGCACCGTCGGTGAAAGAATGAGACTAAATGGGCACTGGTTGGTTGAAGGTTGGAGCATTTTTGCAATGTTTGCAGTTTGCACGCTGCTACCGAGTGCACTGAATTATTAAATTATGCAACGTAGGGTGGGCCGGAATGGTATGACGCTCATTCATTTCATTTTGGAGATTTGTCGAATATTATATATTTATGACTTTTGTGATATGCTCAGGAATCGTTCTACAGTATGCGCTCTGCATTTTGTATACTAGATTGCCGTAGCCATACCTTCCATGTTCCCTGATCATGTTATCAATATATTGCCATAGTTCCTTTATTTCATGACACTAAGTCGTTGCGTTGGATTGGCGTTGAATCGTTTTGCATTGTTCGGGTGACTGTCGTTCGTTTATATCCATTCCTCTCCCCCCTCTTCTCTAAAAAACCATGCGGAGCGACAACTGATGTCTTGCGGTACAGCATAACTGCAGGCGTCTCGCAAGTTAATGGCTCTCTTCATAGATGGCGCTGCGAGAAGCGCCTGTAGGTATGCTGTACCGCAAGACATTACGTTCCGTTTCATTGCTTTCCGAGCGAGCTGAATGATGGCAACGGGCGGGGGACAATGGAAAAAGCACGATATGTAATAGCAGGCGGCATGCGTAGGTAAATGTTTGAGCTTTTTTAATAGACCAAGTCCGTTAACATTATAACAACTAAAACAGTACATACCTACCTACTGCCTGTTGGTCCCGCTGGTGAGACATGTGTGACCTGTGACTACTGAGCCGTCAGTTGGAACTTGTCAGTTGGAGCCGTCAGACTTTGGAACAACTTTGACATTGTAAGAGTAAAATTGACAAGTGTTGGTTGCTGGATACGCAACAGTAATTTAATTGCTCTGTCGGAACAGGTTCGTGTTTCATGAGGATGATATACTCATCCACATGCGATCTAGGTTTTCTGCGGTCACCAACTGCTGCTTGTTGGAGGTCCTTTGAACTGAGCTGCTTTGCGATTCTTCTTGATGTTCCCATCTTTTATAAGATGTTATATAAGTAGCCTGTGTGTAAAATTGCAACCGCTGACGGAAGCCTTACATTTTCGGTGTTTGCTTCTCAAGCTGCTATTTTTTTTGCGTCACAGGCAGCCGACGCATCATCAGACCGCGAATCACATCTGGTCGATGTCCGGCGAATTTGTGCCGCCTGGCCGGCGTTGTCATGGCGACGGGGTGTGTTGAGCCACTCATTACACGCCGGGATATATGGATAAGACATTTCCGAAGGAAATGCGAGTATGTATGATGTATACAGCTCGTTTGGATGATGGACCTTCGCATGTACGACGGCAAGTAATCGCCACAGGGGAAATTGGAGCCCGTTAGGCGAGGCTCTCTATAGGGTTCGGCGCAGTGATGGCTGCTTGGGCCAGGTCGGAGACTTGGGTTTCCGCTCAGGGTACGTGCATCGAAAGGTCGCCTGAAGGCCACTCGCTATCGAAACGGCCTAAAGTCGAGCTCCCTGCCGGATGGGTATGTCTGGTTCATTGTTTGGTATCGACTGGTTCGATTCAGTCGGGATTAATCAGCCGGCTGCCGGCTCCCGGAATCACACGAGGATCGATGGGGCCCGATGCTCTATTACGCATTTGGGGTAGATGAATCTGGATGCTTCCGCTAGGTTTTGTTAAGTGTTCCGGGAACTAATGTCATGACCTCACTAAAACGTTTGAACGTTTCGCTTCGTACCGGCGATAAGCTGTCTAAGCGGAAATTGGGGACGAATTCAAACGTACTCCATTTCCTAGCTTTGATCATCTTCGATTTTATCAATTCAAAGAAGCGTCGACGTCTTTTTTTATATGCATAGAGCATATTTTAGATGATGATTGTTGTATGCACTTTTGACTTATCAAATGAATACTCACCTGCTCTTTGGGCTTTGATTGGACTCCCTCTTCCTCGCTAATCGTTTTACTCGTCTTTTCATGCAGTCTGAAACCACCACTTCACCACCCAGGTGCTGCGACCTTTCAAATGCCCCTGTCGACCCCGTCAGCCCCGCTCTCGTCCCTCCCCTGACCACCCTCTCTCGTTTCGACAGAGGTGGGCGGCTTCTACGGACCGGGCGCCGACATGTGGCACCACCACCAGGCGGCGGCGGCGGCGCTGGCCTACGGGCCCGACTCGCTGCACCACCCGCACCTGCTGCACCCGGCTCTGCACGCGGCTCAGGTTCCGGTGCGTGCCGCCTCCGGCTCCTTTCTCTGACTGACGCCCGGCGGCGCCAGCGGCGCCAGCGGCGGCGGCGGCGGCGGCGCCAGGCTGGCTGTCGTCCCGCCGGATCATGTCAGTGATAGCCGGCGAGCGGCACACACACCGCTGCCGCTGCTGAGCTGTCTGAGCACGGGGCGACGGCCGCAGGGCTCCCGACACTCACTGGCTGGACTGTGGTGTCCGAGCTCAGAGGCACAGCTGACGTCACAACCGTCACAAACGTCACAGTTGTCAATTGTAGATGTGTGACACTTTCTGGTCACGGAGAGTGATGTCACCACCGTCACTTCGTCACGCAGATTATCAGTGGACGCCCTCACTTGTAGTCTGTAGAGTCACATTCCCCTACACTCATGGTTTGATCACCAGTAGTTGTAATGGTGTTGCCATCACTTACACTTATCAGCTGCCTTCTAAATTCATCAAGTTCCTGTATATGTTGCTCCTCCCGCACCTGTTTGTGTTTATTGTACCTAGTTACTCACTATGATGATGCACCAAAGCTGTTTCGCGCGATAGCCGCACGCGTTTCAATCACACCCACTGTACATAGATACGACACTGAAGTGATGCTGTGTTGAAAACCACATGGTAATGAAAATGTATGCATATAATGCAATTATGGCTGACTACCGATTGGATTTGTGACGCTATCCGCCATACCAATTGGTCACACTGTCGACATTGCTACTCGGCTTTTCAGGAAAATACGAATACCAAAGGATAGTGCTGTCCGGAGCTGAATTAATTTTTCTTTCAGTGCATAACTTATCTTATTTTATATATTTTATATCTTACATGAAGGAGTGATAAGTGCATGTGCCATCCAGCCAAGTTTACATTTTTGTGGGCTTATGAAACAACTCCAACATGTATTGCGCTATATTGGTAATTCATATAGCACTATGCTGCATAGTGATCTACTTCCATTTCCTACTCAACTCACCATTACTTGTCTTGGAATATGAGGAAGAAGTAGGATGGAAAGCGCAAATGATGTTACATCAGGTACAAATTAATAGCAAGATAGTATTGCTTTTCCCTGTCGCTCTGTCCCTCCGTGTATCACGGTCCCTCTCTTCCTTTGTCCACCGACCGTCGTCCACCGTCCACCGTCCACCATCCACCGTCCACCGCCTACCGTCCACCGCCCCAGCGCCGGTCACCCCTAGCCCGTTGAAGTATTGATCGCGGCACACCTGGCTGCAGCCAACAACGGCTCAAACTGTTTTGACTGCGCTGGCTAGCCCGTGAAACTCGGTTTCCAGAAATGATGCAGGTCTCAGACAGCAAAGAGTGCTTGTCAGTCGATTTTGGGTAGCGTATGCAAGAACCTTTTTTGTCCTAATGCGATGCTTCAAGAAGCAATGTTCCATGGTCATTGTTGGCAAAAAATCCATATAAGTTATGTTTTGAAGTAACTACGGAAAAGTCGCGAATCTTTCTCCCATGAAATGAAAGCAAATGTAAATGTGTCATTCGAGACGCCCAAAGAACGAACATATATTCGCAATACTAACAAGATCGTTACGAAGATCGTTACGTCTCTTGCGCCGTGCTCGTAAACGTATCTGGCTGACTATCAGCTATTGTATCCCAATTATGAGTAGTTACGCACGCTATCAACTTTCGCTACCTTAGATTCTTGCCGAACAAGACTAATTTTCTGGCACAGCGTCGCACCGATTTTCTTGCATAATTTTGAGCACCTTTGGTTAAATTCATTGTCACATCATTACCTTATTTGATTATTTTTGTTTTCTGCATTTTTCTGCTATTGGTGGCTTGTAGGTGAGGTTCCATTAAATGTTACATCACTGATGAGTATATACCGCCGCTGGCGCTGGCTGGCGCTGCTCAATACAACGATAGACAGTGGCAAAGATAATGCCTTTATCTAAATCCAAACGCAATAATAACATGAGTTTGCAATAGCTATGGCAAATATGATGATTATCCAAATCTAAATGCATCAGAAAAACGGGACAATGAATGCAATAGTTTCATTATACCTACCCACAGACTTGGCCGGCTAGTACGCGATTGCAAAGTAGCGTAACATTCTTTATTGTTGTGGTACCGAAACGCATTTGATGTCTCCTGCCATTTGTTCATAACCCGCCATTGTTATCATGTTTGCAGTAAAAGTTCATAGGACACGCAACCCTCTCAATTAAATGCCACTTTTTAGAAACATCCTCATAAGCTGTGCATTGAACGTTTGAATAAAGTCACATCATTAGACATTGCTCCCAAGTCCATCCAAGTTCGCAACGTACATATTTCCCTTCGTCGAATGCGTATTACGTATCTTACTATTGTCACGTTGCATTCTATTTCGCTTGTAACAACCGAGTCTTTATGAGGATACGCCACTTGGCTAAAAACAATTGCATTTTGCTCTGCAATGTACCATGCTTGTTGTGTTCTTGTGTAGCTTTGCGTCACTTTTCGTGACTAGATTATCTAAGTGATCGTAACTTGTGACCTCGTGTAATCCTACATGATGGCCAGTTTCTTTGTGGTTTCGTTGCAATGGTTTAGTTCTCTTTTGTAAGTTGGTTTATGCTTTGTGTTTTAGCAGCATTTGCTGTCGCTTGCTTTATTCTAACGTAAACGTGCAACATGTCCTTGCCAATATCTCTCCCACTTGAAAATTTTGTTTGCCGTCGTTGTGAACCTTGGCTGACCTGTGTGACCCTTAGTGGCCTACTATGGCCCTTAGTGACCGTGTGTTCCTCGACAGGCCCACCTGCAGCTCTCCAATCTGAACACGGTCGGCTCTCTTCCGCTGATGTCTCACGGCGGCCTGGGATCGCCCACCTCTGTGGCCGGCAACACTCCCTGCTCCACGCTGTTTGTGGCCAACATCGGCCAGAACGTCACTGAGCAGGACCTCAAGGAGATTTTCGGCAGGTGCGACCGCCGGCCGTGCCGCGAGGGGGAGCGCCCCAGTGGATGTCACAGTGCAGTAGTCGCGCCCTTTCACTCAGCTATCGCACAGCAGTTGAGGATCACAAACTAACTACTCTGTTCCACAAACTAACGAACTAGCTACCTACTAATGTCTCTTCTGTCACTATCCCGGTGAACGGAGCCGCCCGATAGCGCAGTCAGCGGCGTTTCCATGTCTGACCTCGTACTACCCACCGTAGCAGAACATCACCCTCTGTCGGCGACGCATGAAGTACTAACTGGTGTCGGCGCCACCAGGTGGCAGGCACGCGCACCGTCTAACGCACCGTCTCTCTCCGCCTCTCACAGCCTGCCCGGGTTCACTAGGCTGCGCATGCTCACCAAAGGCGGCTCGCCGGTCTCTTTCGTGGAGTACCAGGACACAAATCACGCTGCCGTTGCCATGGCAATGCTGCAGGGTTTCGTGCTCAGCCCGGAAAGGGGAGGCGTTAGAATTGAATACGCCAAAACCAAAATGGCCGATGGCGGTAAGCGCTCGAGCAGGCGTTTCCGCCACCGAACTTGTCGAGCAGTCCAGAGCGCTGTTCCCGTTGGTTGGTCAGTCTCGAAAAGTGAGCGTTCCCTCACATGAGCAGGAGTCGGCCGGTTTCATCGACACATGCGTTCCTTTCTTCTGCTCGACAGGTCCGGTGGAGGACGCTTTCTCTCACAACTACCTAATTTGCCTGTGACATGTGACCATTGTCTTCCTCCACTGGTTTCACTTTTGCTCTTTTCAGTAGTTTAGCTAAGCTATCCACGTAAGGTGAAGAACGTATTTTCCCCTTCTTGCATAGCTACCACAAACAGTTGATTTCTTGTAAGATCGGAGCATCTCTGAAGAAGTTAGCCCTCAAAAATCATTTTGCAATTGTGTCCTTGTCTTGAAAGATCAAAGTGATCAGTATTTTTGTTAATGATCACATCAGGGTACCTATGACTTGCTGTGCCCTGCTATAGAATATGATCTAACAATCGTCAACTTGTAAGTGAAAGCGTCGCCTAACAGGCCTCAGTGGTAAAGCGATTCTGCATGTTTGAGTGTTTGAGTCGATATTATTTACACGGGCATATAATACTTGATATTATGAGTAATTGAAGCTCCATTATGAGGCTACTATCAGTTGTAGAACTCCCTAATATGTTTGTTGACTCCATGCCCATCAATGACTCGTTACGTGACGCCGCCCCTTCCGTCTGCAGGGATCCAAGACTAAGGATGGACAACATCATGTCGCACTGAGTCAGCCTTCAGCGTCCCTAGGAGATCCCAGCCGGCCGGCCCTGCAGACGCTCTGGGCCGATGGCTGGCTCGGCAGGCAGACCAGGGCCGGTGCTGCTGAGCTGCTGCTGGCCGCTGACGCCGCTGGCGCCGCTGATACAGCTGATGCTGATGCCGCCGATCCTGCTGAAGCTGCTGGTGCCGCTGGCGCTGACTCGATCCGTTGTCGAAGGAAGCAGCAGGGGCGCCAGTAGGGTGTAGGCAATTTTATCCGTCCGTGAACAGCATTCAAGCATATCAACGGCCTTGGACAGTCACAAAATAACCTGTAAATTTATAGAGCGCTGACGGGAGAGGAGTCCCCAGCGTTGACGTGATGCAGATGGCGTGGAGGTCGACCTCCGATAAGTTAGCGTGTTTCTGATCTTTGTGTAACTCAGATAGGCTCATGTATATGCCCTTTGAGCAGCTATTTCCTCCGACATTCCCTTGAGCGGCGAGCAGCGCTGCCTGAGCAGCAGCCGCCGCACGTCCATAGACGGCGGCATTGGATGGCGCAGGAAGTAAACTTTATGTCTATGAATAATCCGTAGGTGTCGCTAGTTCCTCGCTGTTTTTCTCCAGTATGTTAGCTGTTCGGTGTTAGGCCCCTGGCAGGGGCAGGGCATGCTTGTGTGCATGAGGCCGGCTGTTTCCTTCCAGAGGCTCAGTGACGCCCCTCAGGCAGCCTTATAGCGTGGCGGTGCGACTGCTCTCAGCGACACATGTCGGCCGGCCTTGGAAGCAATAGTTACCGACCCTGTCGCCCGGATCCCGCTGGTTGGACTGGCTGTGGTCGCCGGGTCGCCGTCCCGTCCCTGGAGCTCGCTGGGCTGTCCCCGGACCCCAGGTCCACCGGTGGGAAGCGGCAGTGCGCGGTGCGACTCGCTCGCCTTCAGATTCCGTCCATTTTGACTCTGGCAGCAGCTCAACGTTTCGACTGCGGGGGCGGTGCGTGCCGGCCGCCCCTGCTGCCCCGAGGCCGGGCGGCATGCCGGCCCCCCATCGAGGTCTGATGCCTTACTTCTTTGTACCGTCGTTTGGCGCTGCCGGCGCGCGGGCCACCCACCGGATGGATAAGATGGCCAGCACCTTGGCTGCGGAGGCAAAACGCTGGGGAGGGCCGGAACGGGACATATCAATGTATTCCATCCGTGTGTTTGAAGGGGCATGTACAAGAGCGGCTTTCTAGGCCGTGGAATCTCATGAGGGAGCTACAAGAGGTAGCGATGCTTGCAGATTTAAAAATGTCTCGGTTCCCCGGCACCTTAGCATCACCTTTGAAGCGTTCATGGTCTTGTCTTTCAAGCGATGTACTCTTTCAATCCGTGATCTGAAGTCCGAACTCATCCCCATCAAAAAGTGCAGATCAACCTTCTTCCTATCTAGATATCTTTGGTGAACGAGGGCAAAACTGCATTTGGCGTCTCAGAGGTCCGATGTATAAATACTGGCTAGTGTGAGCGTATATAGTGTGACAATTTACCTGGAGGCCTAGTTCTTTGTGTGATAGTGTCTGCTCGGAATATCAGAGGAATCTAACACCGCCGTATCTTTAGACGCTAAATTACAAATTTGTCAATAATGATGTATTATCTCTTCGAATCTCCATATTACCTCTCGGTGTTGTCTTATCAAGCTGTAAAAAACGGCGAATTTAGTTTTAAAACCACCGTGATCAGGTGGTGGAAGTAAATACGGTCCCCACAGCAAACGTGGCCTCTATAGCAGAGTGATTGTGTAGCGCCTTGGCGATGTTGAGGCTCGTGTACATATGAAATACGTGTCGGGTAATTTAAGGTTTCATTGTTCTGATCCGGGACGTTCGTACGTCTTGTCAGCTGCATCCCAAAGAGTTTATGTTGATAGTCATTTGACGGTCGGCCTGCTGGTCTGCCCGGCAGCCGCCCCAGCGTGTTTAGTTTCACTTGTTGATTACACACCGAAATGACAGCCAATTTTGGCTTTATACATATTATTTATTTTCTTAGACAGATGGCGTGATGATATTACCGCCTTGGCGACCTCCCGTGCTGCAGTCTGAAAAGTGCGGTCTAAATTTCAACTACGGCTCTGAGAAGCGATCATAAGATCTGCCGTCTTGTGATCTTTGACAGAATAGTATTGGTGTGAAATTTAGCTTCGATAGACCTTAGGAAACCACCATGACTGCAATCTAGAACCTATGGTTTGTCTGATGCTATGAGACGGTTCTATTGACGTCAGCAGACGCATATTTCGTAGGCTCCCCGGTCATCCTGCACTTGAAGAGCTCAGATTTAGGTCAGGTATTCAGTAGTCACAAGACATGTCACAAGCTGCGAATGTCGCCGCAATGGTCAATAAATGGCATGTCATAAACAGTCATCTGATGGCAGGTTACAGACATGCCGAAATAGCGGGAACTCCCAAAAATCGTGAGGACGGTGTGGCGTGAGACGCTATCGACTCTCCAAACAGTATCGCTCTGCTCAGGCCGCCGTCAATTCATATCGCTCGCGTTTCCGGGCGCGGCCTCACATCCAGCGACCGTCTCTCCTGTCTGCCGCTATCTAAACTGGCGTGTTGTGGGTCGCGTTCGTCCTCTAAAACGTCTGACATCAAGCAGCGGTGTGTGAAGATTGTTATTCGCCGCGCAAATGATACTTTCTCCGTAATCCTCTCCGACCCGTATGTAGTCTCCGTGTTAACTTATTTCGCTGTGTTTAGTGCGTTAGCTAGTCAACGTCTGCCGCGCGCGTGGCGCCGCTTGTGTACAGTAGGCCGTTTGCTGCTAGTGTCGTCCCGGGTCCAACACGTGAGAGAACGCCAAGCCTGAATAAAACTCGGATAAAAAACTTCAACATTGTGTTTGTTGGGTGGGAATGTGGAGTATGGCTCTAAGCTTTAGGGATGGGATGATAATAGGTAAATCTGAGATATAACGTTTTAAGGTTTGACAATTGTCCTTCGACGAAATCTGACAGGGTTCAACCACTGAACTCTATAATGTGGAATGCGCATCGGCCGCCAGATGGTGTCCAACGGTGCCGCCATGTTGCGCAGACCAGGAAGCGGCCGCCGCCTGTGTTGGGGAATAGGGAATTCGGGACCTCGATCTACGTTTGCGGTCGCTGCATCCGTTACGTTCAAGCTATGTGGACACGGAACCCGGCATCTTACGCAGAATTGAGTGGAGAACAAGATGAAATCCCAAAAAATCCTTAGATACAAGGAACTAATACGTTAAACCCTTATAAATCAATGGGGAAATATGAAAATTGCTATTTTGGCGCCGAGAATGATCTGAAACTATCTCAAGCATATAGAATCATGATTTCATGCAGTCTTTGCAAGGTTCTATGCTTCATATTTGCATTGTTGCCCTTGCATGACGTCATTTGTGACGTCACAAGGGTCACAATTTTCCTTCAATAACTCCCGATCAAATTGAGCTAGCGAGTCAGGAAAGCCACCAATGGACTCAGGAAGACCTGCCGAATCGAATGATATGCGAAATGACCTCTTTCGACCAACTTCGTGACCTGGGGGTGCTGACCTGACCTTGACCTGAGGTCAACACCCTAAGTTGACCTGACCGGAACAAAAAGTATATCACTCGATGCGCCTGAGCTAGCTGAACACGATGATGCCAAAATCGCGGCTCTACGGCCATTTTTGGCGAAGTTATTTACCAAAAACCGAACCCGTGCCTTATATCACTTGACCTGACCTCAGAGGTCACCGGTTGACCTGAAACCCTTACAGCGGGTTCCTACCAGTCACTTTGCATTATACTTTGCCGCATAGGACCACTTTATCGCTTAATTCTAGTTTAACCCGCGCCCGGCTGGGGGTCCTGGATTTCCACGCCCTGCTGGGGGGGGGGGGGTGTTTGAACACCCTCCCCCCTGTAACTCGGCTCCTGGGCCACGTAGCGATACGCAGAAGGCGGCGTTCGAAAGAGCGTAAAAAATAATGACGAAATCACTTCAGTCAATTTTTTGGTCAGGTCAAAGGTCAGGTCACCAGAGGTCATTGAAGGCAAAATTTCGCCGATTTTCAGGTCGAATGTCGACATTTTCCAAGAAGCCAACGTATAACTCGGGAACCAATAGAGCTACAGCGCCGCGGAAAAGTGCATTCGATAGCCCTATTATCGCCCTGTCTGAATAATTCTCTCAGATTTGACCAAACGTCAACGGTTTTGCCTGCAGGGGGCAAAAACTGCAAAAATAGCAGATTTTTTTTCGGAAACAGTTTTTCTGCAATAACTTTTGACCCAAGCCTTGTACGAGCTTACTTTTACCGGCATCGTATTCCTCTCGTCAAGACGTATCGAATGAACTATAACTTGACTTTGAAAGGTCAACTTGAAAATTTGACCTCAGGTCAAGGTCATGACCTGACCGGAAAGGGTCATGTTGCATATCAGTCGATCCGTATCGTCGAGCTGAACACATATAAGGCGTTTTCATCGCTCTAGCATGCCTCTATCAAAAGTTATTTGCGAAAAACTGTTAAGATACCATTCGTGACCTAAGATGACCTCAGGGCACAAACAAGGGTCACGGACACCATTTTCATGTTCAGTGTGTCTAAACCACTTGTAATTCGGTGTTTGGGAGTGTTTATAATGTCTTTCGTCCAAAAGAGGCGCATTTCAATTTTCTCCCATTGACTTATAATGGGGAGGTCGCAAAATTGACCTGACCTTAGGTCATCGATATCAAAATTCTGAGATATACATTTTGTACATGCTATTGCTCTTAGCAATCGCTGAAAGTTTCAAAGCGATCGGTCACTCGGTGTAGCTATGACAGACATTGAAACTTTTTATGAGGTGAGGTCACTTCAAGTGACCTGGTGACCTGACCTTGAATGACCTTGGTCTGAAATTTTCACAACATGTGTAGAATTGATGTATGATAAGGTGTACCAAAAACGGCGGCGCTCCGCGCCGCCGTTTTTTAGATATTCGCGAAAAACCACAAGGGGGGTGTTCAAACACCCCCCAGCAGGGCGCGGGTTAAAGGAAGGGTGCCACCTTTTGGACACAACGCAGTTTTTACAAGATTAGCCTCACATGAACCTAAAAACCGGCTTCACTTACCTATGCTCGAGACGGTCAGCATTGAATCCGCACGTGAAGTTATCATTTGCGAGTTTTGCTGCCAGCATTCGGGCAGGCAAAAATCTTCAGCACTATTTCCTCGTCGTGTTAAGGGTATTTTATAAAACATGAAATCAGCAAAGGTATGTATAAAAGTTATACTTTTGAAGCATGTTTTATCATTTTGAAAGGGTATATTTTTTCTTTATGGTATACACTTAAGTTTTAAAATTTTAATTGGGAAGTTTTTCTAGTAAGTTGCATGAAGGGTGAAGGGTTCCATAGATCTCTTAAGCATTGTAAAGGAAAAACCTTTACTCGACTTATTTGATGTTCTTTAACTGTTGGCAAATATGGCCAACAGTTACCTACTTGGTTACCTACAACTTAGTTCAAATCATGTTATCTTCTTCCTTTTTATTTGTTCATCTTTTTGTCTCAGTTGCGCCATCAATGCAAATGGCAGAATGATATGTTGCCATGACAACAGGATATGCCAGCCGTCCTAGCTGCCACATCAAACGACCTTGAGTTGTAGTGGTGATATAAACAACGATCTTTTTTTGGCCAATGTATTAAATGCAATGTTTCGGTTTTTTGTATATTGTGGACGCGCTAACCACGTCTAAAAATTCAAATAAGTAAAATAGATTCATAGAACAAAAATTTCGGAAGGTGGCACCCTTCCTTTAATTAGCGGCGCATTAGCGAGGTGGGTTCAATAAACCCCCTCGGCCGGGGCAAATGCAGTGGCGGATCTACGTTGGGGCAAAATGGGCAATTGCCCCCCCTAAACGGAAAACCTCTGGGCAAACATATCTTTTTGCCCCCCCCCCCCCTAAAAAAAACTACAACTTGAATACTAAAAATATGGTGTTTGAAAAGAAAATGTGAAATAAATGAAGGACTAGAAGGTTGTCATATTCGTGATATTAAGTTGTGAGCTGATGGCAGGCGAGATAGAACTGGTTGAGTGAACGATATGGTTAAGCTACTGCCGCTGTGTCACTCAGTGACGGCCAGAAAGAACGGTGTACTGCGTGCCTTTGAGAACAAGTGCGAGATAGGTTTCTGAGAGGAATAACGTAAAGAAGATTACCAATCGCGGCTTTTTCATGAGCCATACCGTTATCTAACGGGGACAAACACAGAAAGGCTCAGTCAGAGCTTTTGGTTTGCGAGGTGTTGGAGAAGCTCAGTATGTTGTGGGAACTTAACGCTGTTCGGTGTGATTCCGTTGGCTGTTGCGCTGTGGTCCTATGTAGTCTGTAGAAGCATCGTTTATCTCCTCTCGAAAGTAACACTTATTGTATAATTTTGCTAGCTCGCGAAGTTTAGTCCCAAAGTTAAGGAATGTTCATTGTAATTGCATCAATAAATGCAGGACCGAAAACAAATGCGCTGTTCTTCGTCTATTTCTTGTTGGGATTCTTAATCGACTGATCTCATTTTCTATTACCGGAAACAACTGTTAATACGTTTAACTACGTGGCAACCCTGACTGCGTATAGTATCGCAGGTACGCTGATGTGGCCTTTGGTCGTGGGCATTTACACATGAACCTGCTGCTGCGACCCTTATCGGTCTCCGGATACAGAAGCCCTTGAGAACCGGCGCGGGCGGACCTTTCGGACGAGGTCTTGCTGAGATGCGGGAGGTAGAGGACGGACCGTCCACAGCGCCGGTGAGCTACCGGGTGATCATTTTTGAATGATACAAAAAGAAAGTCGCCACGTGCAAAGATAGGACAAGATATTTTGATTTCACGTGCTGGTTTACATGAGGGACATTCGGACATTTTGTTTTTTTATCAACATTGTCCAAGTCCGTCCTAAGGTACGGTAAATATCATCCGTTTTTATAGCATACCCTTTTTGGACATCTTAGTGTAACGATGCAATATCTCAGCTGGATGGCTTTGCAGCACAACAGATTTTAGTTCATGGCGCATGTGCAAAGGCAATAGCACGGTTATACGGGCTTCCTGGAACCTGCAAAGGATCTTGGAGTGCACGAAGACAATAAGAATAACAAAAACTCCGAAGTGGACATTGTTGATGGAAGTGCGTTCGAGTGCACTGATTTGGCGGACCCGGGGACGGTACGGCCTTCTAGAGAATGCTGTAACCTGTCGTTTGGCCGGCTTTGTATGACTAATTCACGCGTCTCCGACACTCTTTTCAACAAGAGTGTGCTTCTCCACACACATCCGCGCCTGTCATTGAGTTCTCGTGCCCCAAAGCTGGTAAGCCTGCAGCTTGCGAATAAGCGAGCACGACCGCCCGTCTTACAGCCCGGACTTCTCGTGACTGTACTTGAGTGTCTGGCCTCACCTAATGACAGGTGTGGTCAGATGTGAGCCAAAGACAATTGCACATCTAATAGTGGTAGAAGGATACTTTACCCGGAGCATGGGACGGCGGCGATAATCAGCAGAAAATGGTCAGACAAACCCGGCATCGAGCGGAGCTCAGCTGGTCGCTGGTCCGCGAGGGGTGCATACTTTGGGCACCTCCTCTAAGCTGGCTATTGACATTAATGACTGACTGTGTGTTCCAGATAAAATGTCCCACCGTACGTGTTCGATGGGTGTGTTTGGTTTAACTATCCAGCTTTACACATGGCTGATATTAACAAATGTTTTTGTATCATTCAAAAATGATCACCCGGTATTCTCTAACTGGGGCATTCCACGTCAAATCGAACAAAAATCGGCTGTTTTGCACCTTACCATCAGCGATTTCATTATAA